TTGTAATTGGTGGCTTTACTAAACATACTTATTCTGATAGGCTGCAGATTTTTTTGGCTTGTCTATGTACTTAATTATATCATCTACAGTTTTACTTCTTCCTTGCAAATTTTTATATACAGTTTTACTTCTTCCTTGCAAATTTTTATATCTGTTACTTTTTCATGCCTGCTGCACTGGGAAGGACTTCCAGTCCTACCTGTGATTATTGGGTATTCTTATCTTTTTTCCTGACCTGGTGAAAATCACTTGTTATTTCACCCTCTATATCATGTGAAATCTGGATTTTCATAGACAGCCTGTTAACACAGGGTTTCTTAAATAGCATTCCACAAAACTGTGGGCTCTAAAACAAATCATTATTTTTAAAAACAGACCTTATTTTCTTAAACGTCACACATCATGCTATGAACTAATGCTCATCACAACAGAAAACTACCAAATAGCTATACTAAGTTTCATTAGGAGTCTTTTATCACCACATGGCAGAGTGAAAGTAGGACTATGTTCATTTTGCTTGGGCTGCTATCAGTTTGGTGCAATAGTGGAGGCTACTGGTAACTGGCAAGTTCTCCATAGCACAAATGGAAGCAAAGCAGACTGACAATGCCAGGAACTGCCTTCCAGATGACAGCTCCCAAGATCCCTTTAAACAGTGTCAACTAACTTTGGGACTAAATATGGTCTACTGATAATAGGAAAACTGAGGGAAACACTCATTCTAAATAAGGAATTTTTACACACTATGACTCAACTGCCTCCTGCTGTTCTGCTGCTGTAAATGCTGCAAAACATGGATCATGTACTAATAAAAGAAAAACACATTGTGAAGTTTTCATGTTTTCTCAGTTTGTTATTATTTCCTATAGTTTTAAAATTTATTAGCACTGTATTTTATAAACACGTCTGATGGTCCAGTGTGATATTTGGAGATGAGATTTGTGATGGAAGAGTTCAAACCTAGTCTCATGGACAATTCTAGTCAGGTTAGTAATAAAGAACTATAATCTTCTGGGCCATTTTACTGACCAATACAACAAAAGATATAAAACAACAACCTACCACTAGAATGAAAACTACTAATCATGAGGTTCCCATGGTCTATAATTCTATATGTACTGTTCTACAATGCAAACAACGATAATGGTTCCAGCAAAACTGAAAAAGCACGTAACACATAAATATAAATCACAGCCATTGGACAAGTCTGGGGACTTACAGAAATCTCAATTAAAATGGCATAAAACTTTTGTGTTTATTTGGTTTTGCTTGTTTCAAAAGGGGGTCTGGAGGTATCAGTCAGTGGTACAACACTTGCCTGACGTGAGTGAGGCCCTGGATTCAATCCCCACACCACAAAAAAATAAAAAAGTCACATTCAATGAAAAGGCTCAGGAAACATGTTATTAGAAGCAGAACTTATGGCCTAGAAAAAGGAGAGAGGGAGAAGTCACTCAGATGTTAGGAACCTAATAAGCTGAGCATGACAAATAACAGTGAGCAAAACACACAGCACAGTATGAGAAATTGAAAAGGTTCCATTCTCAGTGTTAACTCAGTAAATATGGCATGTCACATGACATGAAAAGGCTTGATAAACTGAGATAAAGTTTTTCTTTCCAAGTTGACAAATTTACAGGTTTCATGAATATAATATCATGTAGTAATTCTATAAAAAACATTTCAAGTAACAATGAATTTCTAGAAAAATTTAAGCTACAAAGAACTGCCACAAACAAGTAAAAGGCAAGATACCATTTAATATGGCATCTTCATTTCTGGAAACAAAGTGTGTCTTGGAAAAACTGCATTGGCATCTATACTGATGTACCCCATTAGTTATGGCTCTGGGCAAGGTTTTACTTCTCTTGTTAAAAAAAAAAGTACTTTTCAAGAAAACAATAGGCCATGCTTTACTGAGTGATATGAAGATGAGGAATGATTGAAAAAGTTAGCCAATTTTTTTTTTTTTTTGGCTATACTGGGGTTTGAACTCAGGGCCTCACACTTGCTAGACAGCCCTACTGCTTGAGCCACTCCTCCAGCACAGATTTTTTTCTTTTTAAATAAGGAAAAAATAAGCAGTTGAGCAAGTTTAGCAAAAAATGCTTTGACTTTACTGATAAGACTTTTGAATTTGAAAGGAAAACTTAATTTTTAGAGAAAAACATCAACAGAAATCCCCCAATGCTGCTTTGGGTTTAAGAGTGAGGAAGGATATCAGCAAGTCTCAAGCACTGAACACCTGGGAGAAGGAAACTCTCAAATCTTCTGTTCACCTGAGGACAAGTACGGTGCTACTTTGATAAAGAGGAAAGAAGAATCAAATCGAAAAATTTTAAGAAGAAAACCTGAAGTTTACCTATACTAGTGACTTCTTCATAAGGGGTGAAGAAATGCCAAAGGAAAAAAACATACACACACATATGAAATATATAGGAGATTAATAAATTGGGCAAAATACAAAGAAAACTTAGAATTTTCTATATAAAAACAGAGTATTATTGACTTATTCCCACAATTTAATGATTAGGCTAATGTGTGAACTTGAGATACAAGAAGTGTGCAGAAGACTGCACACTATTTAAAGGGTTCCATCATGGTAAGAAAGCTGAGAAAGGCTGCTCTCTGGGCTAATGGAACTTTGCCTCTACCATTGGTTTGGTGCAGGTTTCTATCATGAGTGGAGTTAAGAACTAGGTAACAAAACCTTTGGTAAGTTAGGTGGTTTAAACTGCTTTGCTTTCAACAAAACTGAAGGAGGATTTAACTGAACTGCTGTTGACTGACAGATGCTTGATGACCAATCACTAAGAGGTTTTGGCATTTAACTTGGAAGACTCCACCATCACTAAACTTCCAGTAGAAGTAACTTAGTTATGTGCGCATTTATTTCTCAGCACTTAAACCTACAAAAATCTAAGAACAAGAACAGACTTGGTGCCAAATTCTATTTCATTTTATCAATAAGTAGTATACATCTCCAGATACAAGAGCTATTGGAGGAAGAGAGGAGACACTTTCATTTACTTCATTGAAGGATGGGTTTCTGTTACAAAATGAAATTTAATCAAAATGTTAATATGTATGTTATTCCAATCAACTGCCTACTAATAATAACTAATAATAAAGTAACTAAAATTAGAAGATATTTTTAACATTTTTCTTGTGATTATAAGAAAAACATTTTTTATTTCAATTATTTATATTATTGTGGGAAAGAAGTTGGAGAGAGGATTAATAAAAGATTTTAAGCAAGAAAACTAAAACATTACAACAAAATTCAAGGAGAGTAACAGAAGGGACATGTAAGTTCAAAGAGAAAACAATAAAAAATTCCTATTCATAAGAAAGTTTGTTTTACTTTACTTTTTATTTATTTATTTATTTGTTTTTGTGGTACTGGGGTTTGAACTGAGGGCTTCATGCTTATTAGACAAGCACTCTTCCACTTCAGTAGTACCTCTAGCCAAGGAAGTTTGGTTTTGTATTTTTTTTAATGAAGCACGACATTCAGACTCCATTAGATAAATTTAAAAGAGTGATGTTTTTGAAACACTACAATTATGCCAGAAAGTCCATAGTTCTGGTTGCTATTTAAACTTAAAGTTAAATAACAGCACTATTCAGACTTCTTAAATATTGTAATTATCAATTTAAATACGTGCAAAGGGGTATAAGTTTTTCAAAATTATAGGGGAAGCAAATAAAAAATTTGAAGATCTGTGATCTAGAAACACAAACATAGAAGTACGTCTTTTAGGTAAGTGAAGAGTAGTAAAAACATGACACTTTAATGTCAGTCTCCCTCAACCTACTCCAGGGGATGTGTTTTTTTCCCCAGGTATTCCCACCATTAGTGCTATGAATAATATATAGTAGATTTTAATATGTTAACCACAAGGGGCAATGGATGGATGGAATGAATGAATGATGAATACATATGTGTCAAACCATATCATTTAATACTGGGAAATTATAAACAAACAAATTTCTACTAGAAATCAAACACAAACTACAAAATTCAGACATAGCCAGACACCAAGTCTCTTAAATTACAAAAGAAAAGCCTTAGTATAGTCAAAAATCTGATTTACATTTTAAGCAGATGGGTGAGATGAAAATAATAACAGATATAGTACCTTAGACTTTTGGAAGAGATGTAACCAGTACCTGTATGAGAATAAGAGTTTGGAAGCAAAAGACATCAAAAACAAGCTAGGTGTGGTAGTAAACACTTCAATCCCAGCTACCTGGAAGAGGAGTTAGGAGGATCATGATCAGAGATAAGCCCTGGGCAAAAGCATAAGGCCTTATTTGAAAATAAAACAAAAAAGGGATAGGTGTGGCTCAACCAGCAGAGCACTTGTGTACCAAGTAGAAAGCCCTGAGTAATGCAAAAAAAAAAAAAAAAAAAAAGAGAGAGAGAGAAAAGATTCAAAGTCTTAAGGACTGGAAATGTACTTTAGTGGAAGAACATCTGCTGGACCTGGCATGTGCAAGGTTCTAGGTACCATCCCCAGAAAATACTAAATCTTCCAAATATTATATTCTAAAACCTTTAGTAATTATGTAATTTTCTCTCCTAAGAAGGAAAGAATTCATCACTACCATCTACCAATATGCAGTTCTTACTTCTCACATCAAGAAGAAATATCCTGAAAGCCACTCACAACTTCTCCATGGTTTTGCAGCAGTTACTGACTAATTAAGGGATGATGTATATATTGCCTGAGACACTCTTTTTAACTAAAATGGTGGGCTTACATTGTACACTTAAAAAAATATGAATTAAACACTTACATGAATTGCTGCCATGCCAATTTAATACAGACCAAAAATGTGGCAGTATTAAATACTTTCACTGTGGTATACAATAAACTACACACACTAAAAATGTAACTTTTGATAAATTTTGATAGGTATATACAAATTTAACTTCTGAAAATTCCAATCCCAAAAAGCTAAACAGAACTTTGTTATCTGAGAAAAGTACTTACCTTCATGTAATTCACAATTTTAGCAAGAACGCCAAACTTATATCCAGAGCTTCCTGATAGAGCTTTCAAGTTAAATGATCCATTGCTATGATCTGGAAATGAAGTGCAAAACACAATTACAACATTTTCATATTGTATGTTATTATGACTTTAAAACATAAAAACGATTTTAACTCTAGTAAAATATTTTGAGTTTTTTCATACAATGAGTTCTATACTATAAAATTTTGGTAAAAACACAAAATCTTTGCATGTATAGTAAACTGTCAATTTTCTCACTAACGGTAGATATGAAATATGAATAAAGCATTAAAATATGCCTGGGATGTAGCTCAGTGGTAGAGCACTTGCCTAGCATGCGCAAGGCTCTGAGTTCAAATCCATCACCCCCCGAGACACACACACACACACACACACACGCACAAAACATGCATTAAAATACAGTGTGTGCGTGTGTGCGTTGTGTGTGTTGCTGACGATCAAATCCAGTGTTTTGAACATGCTAAACAAGTGCTCTATCAGACACATCTCCACCCAAAAATTTGACTAGATTCCCACAGTAATTAGACAAAGGAACATTACAAACCTCAATTTGATCCACAAGGATTTTTCTAACAGCCTTAGAAAACAAATGAGTAGTGGATCTCTCTGTCTCTCTCTCTCTTTCTCTCTACCTCTATCTCTATCTCTCCCTCCTTCTTTCCCTCTTTCTCTGTCCCTCCCTCCCTTTCTCTTCCTCAGAAGTCATTATAGAAGATCATTTATTTCACAACATCTACCATTCTGTTGTATACTTATAGGCAAAAACCTATTGATGTGATGCACCATTGCATCACAAATGCATTCCATTAGCAACAGACAGGAACAGTAAAAAACATTATCATAAATACTAGAAAAACATTTCAAAAGTACATTCTATTATCAAGACATGAGGTCAGGTATTATAAGGTTCCTATGTGGCTGATCCACAAAGAGGTTAAATAAGGGGGTGGGGGAGCCAATCTCTGGCATCAGCTTGGTAATAATCATTTAAACAGAAGACTGCATTAGAACCACCACAAGTCAAATGTATAACTGTCACAGATCTGAAAGAACAGCTTCTAGATGGCAACATGATACTCCTTTGAGACTAGTTAGTAGAAAGTCTTTACTGAATATGCTTTTTTGATATTAAAATGAAACTTCATAAAATTTTTCACATAAAAATAGCTTTGATGCAATTTTGACAAACAGCTTAATTGGCACAATTAAGTCTATTTATGTTCCCCAAAACAGTAATAATATTAAGAATGCCTAGGGCTGAGGGCATGGCTCAAGTGGTAGAGCGTATGCTTACCAAGAGCAAGCCCCTAAATTCAATCCCAGTATTGAAGGGGGAAAGGAAAAAAAATGCTTTACAGGTGTGCTTCTGTATTTACTATTTCAAATCTGAAATATTACCTACACATTCATTTTTCCCAAGGTGTTCAGGACACTTGCAACAGTAATAGTAATGAACATTTACTGAACAATTATCTGCCAAACACCATGCTAAATGATTTTCACATTTAATTCCTCATAAAAATAGGTCTTATTGGCTTCTTTTAGATATTAAGAATATTGGGAATAGAAAGTAGTCTATAGGTTCAATGCAATTCCCCCCAAAAATCCCACGTCATTCTTCACAGAAATAGAAAAATCAATTCTAAAATTCATATTAAACATAAAAGACTCCAAGTAGCAAAAGCAATCCTGAGCAAAAAGAACAATGCTGGAGGTATCACAATACCAGACTTTAAATTATACTGCAGAGCCATAGTAACAAAAATAGCATGGTACTGGTACAAAAACAGACACATAGACCAATGGAATAGAAGACCCAGAAATAAGCAGATGCTAAAGGCATCTGATTTTTGGCAAAGGAGCCAAAATGTTGGAAAAAAGAGCCTTTTCAACAAATGGTGCTGAGAAAACTGGATATCCACATGTAGAAGCTAGACCTATATCTCTTGCCCTGTACAAAACTAAATTCAAAATGGATCAAAGATCTAAATGTTAAGATCTGAAACTTTCAATCTACCATGGGAAAACACTGGAATACACAGACATAGTCAATTATTCTCTGAACAGTCCAATGCCCAGGAAATAAGAGGAATTGACAAATGGGACTACATCAAATTAAAAAGCTTCTGCCCATCAAAGGAAACAATGACCAGAATGAAGAGACAACCCACAGAGCAGAAATAAATGACAAAGGATTACTATCCAAAATATATAAAGAGCTCAAAAAATTAAACACCAAAAGAACAAATAACCCAATTTAAAAAATGGACAAATGAGGACTGGCAAAGTAGCTCAAGCAGTAGAGCACCTGCTTAGCAAGTGTGAGGCCTTGAGTTCAACCCCCAGCAGTGGAGAAAAAAAAAAAAAGAAAGGCAAATGAACTGAATAGACAGTTCTCATAAATATCTAACAAATACATGAAGAAATATTCAGCATCTTTAGCCATAAAGGAAATGCAACTTAAAACAACACTGAGATTCCATCTACCCCAGTCAGAATGGCAATCATCAAAAAACCAAACAAATGTTTGTTTGGAGCAGGGAGATAACGGACGGACCCTCATATGGTAGGAATATCAATTACTGTAACCACTATGGAAATCAATATGGAGATTCATCAAAAAACAAAATATACCTACCACACAACCCTGCTATACAGCTCTTGGGCATATATCCACAAGAGTGAGTGTAAGTCAACATAGAAGAGAGATACCTGGGGGCTTGGGGCCATAGCTCAAGTAGCACAGCACCTGCTTAGCAAGCACAAGGCCCTGAGTTCAAACCCCAGTACCACAAAAAAAAAATGAGAGAGATACCTACACACCCACACTTATTACACAACTATTCACAGTAGCCAAGCTATTGAATCAGTCCAAGTGCCCAACAAAGGATAAATGGATAAAGAACATGTGGTATACATATACACAATTGAGTATTATTTGCCCATAAAGAAGAATGAAATAAAGTCATTTTCAGGAAAATGGGTGGAAGTGGAAATCACTATGTGCAGTGAGGTAAGCCAAGCTCAAAAAAAAAACCAAATACTGCATGGTTTTGCTTAAATGCAGAAACTAGAACCAAAATGATTAACAATAATAATGGGATACGCGCATAAGAGGAGGACCTTCTGGAGGAAATCAGTGGGAGGAGGGAGGAGGAAGAGAAAGGGTACTGGGGGTGAACAACATAGTCAAAGTACATTACTATACATATACACGCACATACACTGTAAATGAAGATAGCATCATGAAACCCACAAAATACTGTTTAAAAAAGGAGGTGGGCCAAGGAGGATTAAGGAAGTATAATGGAGGGGGTGAATTTGATCAAAGTACATTGTATACATCTATGAAAATATCACAATGAGACTCCTTTGTACAACTAATGTACACAAATAAAAAAAAGAACATTGGGGTTATTAAGAAAGTATAGATTCAAATCAGGATGTAAACACTGTGATACTGCCATGTATTAGATTTATTAGATAAGCCTTTACAAAGATTATTCCATCTGAAGCTGGCTATTTTGTTGGAGCATAGAAATTTATAAATACACATTTAATATTTGCTTGTTTTATTTTAGTAAAATAGTATTAAACTTATCCTCTACTACTGTGTAAACAACTTACTAGGAAGACTATGAAAAAGAGATGATGTACTAACGACAAACACCACAGAAACGGTCCATTATGAACCACATACAGTTTTGCTTACTACAGGATCCCCAGCTTTTAATTCAATGCCAACTGTAGTCAACACTCAAATTATTTGTTGGATGAATAAAATAAGGCTATTTCTATGTACCCCTTTAGGGCCCCAGAAACTATTGGTAATAATATATAATTAAAAAAAAAAAGTCTATACCTAACAAGGATTCACCCAGTGTGCTGTTTTGACAGCTGATCCCTTAATTGAAAATCCTGACTCTGCTATGTTTAGACCAAACTCTAAATAATACATTACAATTTAAAACATTCTATCACTGAACAGCCAACTGGAGATTACTTTACCATTTAAATTTCATAGGCTGTTTTTTAAAAGGAGATAATGTAAACTAACCCTCTTACAACTTGAACTAAAAACCTTCCTTGTTTTTACCCTCAGATCTTCTAAATCCAACCACTACAAGGAAATAAGCACTACCAGAGGGCAACAAGATTTATATATCAACTGCATGTTGAGAGAAAAGTTACAAATTCATGTATGAGATTTTTTGCAGTTCCTGAGAGAAATGTCAAGCTGGTTAACCTGGACTGCTGTTTCCTAGGTTACTACATTTTGTAACGTTATCTTCTAGCCCAAGCACGGAAATATTCAGTGAAGGATGTGAAATTTTATAATTAAAATACTAAGGAATCACCAACTTGTTAGTAACTCACAAATTCCTATGAAGAAATTTAGCTTAAGGACATGAAAAAAGGGTGATAGTTGATCTCCCAAACAGCTTTATTCCAGTTTATGAATGATTTCCTCTTCAGGGTGGCAAGACTTAATGCAAATAAACGTAGAGGAAACTGTCAGCTGCACTGTGGGCCAACCAATAGAAGCACAGCTCCATCTTGGCTGTGCACTAGACTGCATTACAAACAGACAATACCATCGCTTCAACAGCATCCTTCCAGACAAGAGGTAGGTTTATATGATCTTTTTTATTTAGTAGTCATGTTCTTATGATGCAATAGGAAAATACTTTACCATGAAAATCAACCAGAAAGCTTTATTCCTACTAAAGACAAAAAGCAATGTATTCGTGCCATTGCTTGGTATATTTTATTATGAAAACATGAAGACTGCCTTGTGCTACTTGATAAGCATACCATCTGTGTCTTAATGGAAAATTCATTACATTGTGAATAAACCTGATCTATATACAGACCTTAAGGAAACCATAAGCATTTGATGTTAACTGGCTACTTGCTAATTTCATTTTCTCAGAGCAATTTCATTTCAGCAGCTCGATCTGTCTTAACAAAGGATTTTTCTTAAAGAAAAATCTAGACTGAAAGCAAATCCTGGACTAAAGCTTTCTGATTATATGTACAAATTATATTG